AACACAACAACAACTGTTATTTAATTTTAAATGTAAATATGTTTAGATGATTTATATAGAGGGAGTGGGTGGGGCTGCAATTTTAAGGCCGTTCTGACTTGGGGAAAGCCCCCACATTAATGGTTAGATTTTCGAAAAATACATTTTCCATGCATGGGACAATATTTCTGGTAAGTTTCAGCCATTTAACTGATGACCATATAAAAAGTCCCATTTTTAGGGCGTGGCCAGGTGGGCTTTAGGGCCATCTGACTTGAGGAAAGCCCCAACATTTTTGGTTAGATTTTTGAAAAATATGTTTTCCAAGTATGGATCTTTGTTTCCAGTAAGTTTCAGCCATGCAACTTATGACCATATAAAAAGCCCTATTTTTAGGGTGTGGTTAGGGTGTGGTCTGACATACTTTAGTGGTAAGTTTCAGCCATGTAACTGATGACCATATTATTAGCCCCACGAGGCGATATTGGGTGTGGTCTGACTTGGGGAAAGCCCCGGAAATTTTGGTTAGATTTGTGAAATATTTACTCCGACTATGGATACCATACGCCCCAGCAGTGCCCGATCTGACCAACTGATTTGTACTCGTACGGACACCTGCTACGAATTTGGGGGGTCAAACCTTTTGTAACTGATGACCATATTATTTTGTCATTAGCTCCTGGACTATTAAGTAATTGGTTAATTTACGTTATGTAGTTCGGGGTGTAGCTCAGTAATATTAGTAATATTAGGGCCTACTTTAAGGTGCTGCTGCGGCTATACGCCCCAGCAGTGCCCGATCTGACCAACTGATTTGTACTCGTACGGACACCTGCTACGAATTTGGGGGGTCAAACCTTTTGTAACTGATGACCATATTATTTTGTCATTAGCTCCTGGACTATTAAGTAATTGGTTAATTTACGTTATGTAGTTCGGGGTGTAGCTCAGTAATATTAGTTAGAGGATCTTTCACGTTCTCTCCGTTTATTCTGGATATTCTGGGGGATCTAAAAATAATATAGAGTTCCAAATAAATTATATACGCTGATAAAGGTTCAAACATTTATTAAAGACTGGCACAGAAGAATGTATATAATGAATACAAAATATTTAAACAATATGCATGAATAATAAATGATAAGACAAGTTATTATAATACGGTTCAGAATACATTATACATCATAATTACAATTACGATTCGAAATATATTTAATGTCTTTAGCAAAAGAACATATATATATCTTTGCCTTACGTCTGGCATTGTTCGAATTAATATAACATATTGTATGCGACGTTTGATAATAAACGTATGTGCATAACTATGTATGAAATTGCATATATCAAGTGATGTAATTCTCAATATAACATTTCACATACTATGCGTAATATAAATATATAGTAACCTTAATAACAAAAGAATAATACATACAAAGTATTTCTAATACGAAATATTAACTCACCTAAAAATAATATAGAGTTCCAAATAAATTATATACACTGATGAAGGTTCAAACGTTTATTAGAGACTTGCACAGTAAGCATACTGACCGTATGTCTTCTGTCGTATATAATAAAGCAAACCTTATCATCAGTTCAGAAGTTTACTTGGAAGTAAATTAAACATGTTAAGCGGATTATAGATAAATTTACAAAGATTAACCCTTTGAATAAGAGATAGTCGCAAGACCATTTAAACATCCTAATAGGTTAAGTTAACATTTCATGGGTATTATTTAATAAATTGGGTACCATAAGTATACTATATTATGTAAAATAATGTGACATACTGAACTGTGGTCAAGTTGTAAGATAACGATGACGATGAGAGAGATTTGCTACTGTCATGTTAAATTTAAAAAATAATATTTTGAGCAACAAATATATCTATAAAAAAATAATATTTTGAACAACAAAAATATCTATAGTTCTGTGTAATAATGTTTATGAAATAGGCTAAGGACCCTGCTTGTTTTAGACATTTTAATGTGGTGCATGATATCAACATAATTGTTTTGTTTGACATAAAATACGGAAGTAAAAAAAATTGTAGATTACCGAGTTAAGGTCAAGAGGTCAAAGTTAATTTGTAGATTTATGATTAAATAGACACATCTAGGTTTATTAAGAATTAAATGATGGTTTAATTTTAATTAAGAGTAAGGGATAATAATATGATTTATAAATAATAATGCTAGACTAATATTAAATAAAGTTTTAAATTAGAAATAATTAGTTCTTGGTCTGTTGGTAATGACATGTTTTGATTTGGCGGATAAAATTGTACTTTGTCCACCCAACCAATCATACTTAGAAGAAAAAGAAAGTTTTCATTATTGAGACTATGGTAGCTGAAACAGACCAATGGAGATCCAGGAAGATCAAAAGGTTTACCAATGTTCCAAATTGAGGATTTCTAAGACATTATTTGAATAAGTTATAACTGGTAACCAAAGATGTTCACTTCAAAGTGAAAACTGAACGTTTAAAATTTGAAGTGTAGTGTATTAATATTTTAGAATTAGGATACAATTATGTGATTTTATGTGGTTGGGTTAAAATGAATTATCGTAGCACTTTGTAGCGCAGTGATGAACTTTTGGAGAGCTTTTGCATGCGATTTTTGATTTTGATTTTTGAGTTTTGATTATTTGTGTTTTTTTCTTTGATATTTTTTATTCTTTTTCTATTTTTTGTTGGTATACAATGGTAGCGTTGGCCATATGTAATCTTGTATGTTCCATCATATAGTAATCGTATATATTTGCATGTTGCATGAATAATTATATAATTATATGAATGTTGGGTTAGAAAATGGAACTTTTTCTACCTGATAATGCGCATAAATCTTAAGGTGAGGAGAACTGTAGCAATTTAAGTAAGGGATTTATGCGATAATTGAATAATAGCGCTAAATACGTGTTTATTTGAAACGCAGTTTAATTTGATAAATACATATGTATAATAATATCATGGCCTAGACTAATTACAGTTTACAGATTCACAGACAAGTAAAATAACACGAGATACGGAAATCTGTGTTGATATGAAACATGAATTAAACTTTAGGTTAATAAACACATTTTACATATGCCATGCAAGGTATGGTGCATGTCCATTCCATATTTTACTTAGTCATGTGGTCATTAGGCTTAGTAACCAACCACCATAATTAATTACGTAATATTTGACCAATTAAATAATATATAGCAAATGTCAAGGCATATCAAAACATCCGAGAAATGCGCGATTTAGAACACCATGTAGTTTTTGAGAGAGCAAACACCATGTCGTTGGGAGAGACTGTTGAGGTTCAAGTGGCAACATCTGGGTTGAGAGAGAATGACTTTATTTTGGTCTATGCTTGTAATCTATGTATTCAGTTTGATATGAAACTGTGGAAACCATACTTTTGTTCCTGTCATCTTGTTTGTTAATCATACGATATTTTTGAGACTGATAAAAAGATATACACAGCTTGAGATGTTAAAGAAACATTTAAAGATACGTCCTAATCAGTTATATACTACAGCCAAGGACAATGCTAGACGATCATAAGTCTATAGCTAATAAAATGGGTAGCAGAGAAGAGAGTATGCGTCACATGTTGGATGTGGGGAGTTATTGTGGCTTTGTACTTTTCACATCTAACCAGCGACTCATAGAACTGTATCGTATGATATATTTGATTTGGTTGCCGAACAGTGCATAGCGACGCATAGTGCTACAAATGTTCTAACAACCGTTAGCCATTAGATTCACACATAAAAACCGCTTCTTACGCCACTCAAGCAAATATGACATTTGTTAAATTGGAAATAACTACCCTATAAATACTTTCATGGGAATGTATCTTTAAGATGAAAACACCTACAGTTGAACTTTTACCTTAAAAGCGTCAGAAACGTTGGATTATCATTGGTTTACACGTAAAAGAGACCTTGACTGTCGGAATTCCAAACAGATGTCCCCGTATATATCGTACATGTCCGTCTCCACAAGCCTGTTTAGCGCAGAAAAAAAAGTAAAAGTAAAACCCCGTTTCATTTTATTTGCTGGGTTAAATATTAGGGTAGTCTACTTAGAATTTTAATTTAAAGATTGGTCTTAATGGATGAACCCTATTTGGTCTTAAGACAGACAGTCGAGTAAAGGTTACCGCCCCCCCCCTCTCTCTCTCTCTCTCTCTCTCTCTCTCTCTCTCAATCTATGTTAGATTATCCGATGTCTACTGAAGGTCGGGTGATAATACAAATTCACTTTATCTTTCTTTAAGGTAAATAACTATAGAATCCACTGAAATGAGTGTAAATGTAAGTTATGTAAATTGTCTATGGTTAATGTTGAGTCTGGCCGTATTTAATGATCAAGCTCATACATAGATGTTTAGTAATAGCATTGTCAGTCTGCACACATAGAATTATCTACTTTGAAAATAGATTTCTATCCTGAATTGTCGCCAAGTTGAAAAATTAGAGCACTGTTTTGTTCCGCTGTTCTAATCCATTTTGCATTTTTCAAACACTAAAAAATAAACATTTAAATTTCATTAGACATATTAAAATGGAAGCAGAACTATAAATTTCTCAAACCTGTTGAAGTATACTTAGCGTTTTCGATTAAAATCGATGATGTAAGAAATAAAATGTCGGTCAACTAGCTTTGCGTCTTTTCTCAAGCGGAACTAATTGTAGACGGTCACCGTGCGTAGCATTGAGCAATTATTCGTTGAAGTATTCAGTCAAGTTTCTTACCAAAAATACACGTGGGCCTTTAAGGCTCAGCTAACTCTGATGCCAAGGTTTCCCATGGTGAAGTATGATATTGTTGAATGTTTTGACAGTGTTTTACTACAAGTAGATGAGGCCGATTAACGACGTGGAGTGAGATATCGTAAACATGTCAAAGTGTTACTGTTTTCGATCTTATAGACTGCGTACATTTGCTTGTTTTTCTTTCTTATACATACATGTCACGTTTATAAATAAGTATTGATTGACTTCTTGAATCAATTTTTGTAGGCTTTTGAAGAGGAGCGTCAGTTCTTTCGAACAAGTTTGGATTGGAGTGAAGCCATATCAGCGAGTAAGGCAGACAAAGAAGTCATTGTTCAGATCAAGGAGGCCAACAGTGATGCCGAGAATGCCTGCGATTTTATTTGTCGCGCCCACAGAATAATTTGTAGCAGTTGTAAGTTTTACATTAAAGTATCAATATTGACCTAATCCAGTTGATTAATATGATGTTTACACAATGTGATCAACAGACAATAACGTATACATGGTTTTTATCAACTACCCCCATAATGTCGTGACGTACACAATGGCTCATTTTTATACACAGACGGGCGGAACATGATGTGAAACATGATTCTTTAGACTGCATTAAATATAAAAGAGTAGACAGACAAAGAAAGACCCATGCATGGGTTGAGTATACTAAACCTGGTGAACAACAATATCCCTTATCAACCAACTGAAGGCTGGATCATTGTCGTTTTTATGATCTCTAGGGTTTTAAAGAATCTGTTTATTATTCTAATTGCACGGATTAATATACGCTCTACTTGTCCTTTAAACCACAATGGCTTTACATTGCTGTTTTAACACAAATCCACTACCACAGTGCACCCTCGACTCTCGTGCGTCTAGAAAAATATTCAGGATTTGTGGAGTGTGGTGCTTGTGTGGCTTAGGAAAATGTACCGTGGCGTTTGGATGTGTTGAAAATCCGAAGCTCAGCCTTTTTTACACACTGGTGCGCGCGTAAAATATCTCCGGACAATTGGCGCGCGGAAGGGTAATTTACCTCCGACAGTAGCGTTTCCGACTAAATTTCATCCAATTCCAATTGTTAAGAGTTCTTTTACACGTACCCAAGTGTGTACATGGGTGGAGCTCACTACCGCGCCACATCCGAATGACTAACCACACCTTTCTTTTTATACTGCCAGGCGTTACCCTGCCAGATGATTCGGGGGTTCTATCCCTGTATTGGCCGCGAAAATTTCCCGGAATTTTCCAGCGTGGTCCCCCCACCCCCACACCCTGTAGCGGGTGCCGGATTAACGGCCTTACAAGGACAATGTCTAATTGTCCGGATGGGATGAGAAATCCTTGACAGATGAAATTCGAAATATTAGTACGTTGTAGCGCCGCTGCCCGGCTAAAATGTCACTCATAGCACAGTGCATAGCGTACTCCAGTCTTTGTTATCCCAGTCGGTGAAGACAAGTAGGACTACCACGGCCCCTGGATCAGTCGGTGAAGACAAGTAGGACTACCACGGCCCCTGGATCAGTCGTTGAAGACAAGTAGGACTACCACGGCCCCAGGATCAGTCGGTGAAGACAAGTAGGACTACCACGACCCCTGGATCGGGATTAAGTTCTATTGCTTGGAAAATCGGTTGATTTATAGTTTACGATCACGAGTAACCTTGTGTGTTATAATTATGCTCATGGGAGAGAGAGAGAAATGGGGTTTAACGTCCACTCGACACAAACTAGGTCATTTCGGAACTAACACATGGTTTAATTTTATTTCAATAATTCGCTTTCGCGTAGGGGTCTTTAGCAGTGGGAGGAAACCGGAGGACCCGGAGAAAACCCACGAGGTTGGACAGGCGACCCTACTCCTTGTCACGTACAACCGGGGATTCGAAACCACGCCAGTTGACTCAATGACAGGTCTTATGATACAGCGCGCACGTGCTAACCATTCGGCCATCCAAACCCCTTATAGACCGGGAGCCCAGGGGGTCAACCTAGCTGAAAAGTGTACCAATTTTCTCCTATATGGTATCAATGTATGTATATCTGGTATCATCAGAATGTAAGTCTGTCGGGTTTTGTGGTGGGTGTGGTATTCCACGCCCTAAATGCCATGATCCCCAACTAGGCTAGATTAGCTCAAAAGTGTACCACACGCAAATCTTACTGCAGTGTACCGTACATCTTCAGGTATTACAAAAACACTCTGACAGACATTTCTAGTGGTGGGGTACCCCTGACAGAGCTATTTAATTGCCAGACATTTGTAGTATTGGAGTATCCCTGGCAAGAGTTATCTAATTTCCAAACCAAAGCTAGGCTAGATTAGCTCAAATCTGTACCACTAAAACAGCTTTGGAGTTGTTCAGTACCACCACAGGAATTATGAATGACCACTAGCAGACAGTTTGTGCGGTGGGTTGCCCCTAACAGACACGCCCAAAATAACACGCCCCCAACTAGGATAGATTAGTCGGCACTGTTCCTGTGGCAGTGGTCATTCATGACTCCTGTGGTGGTACTGAACAACTCCAAAGCTGTTTTAGGTGGTACAGATTTGAGCTAATCTAGCCTAGCTTTGGTCTGGAAATTAGATAACTCTTGTCAGGGATACTCCATCACTACAAATGTCTGGCAATTAAATAGCTCTGTCAGGGGTACCCCACCACTAGAAATGTCCGTCAGAGTGTTTTTGTAATACCTGAAGATCTACGGTACATTGCTGTGCGATTTTCAAGTGGTACACTTTTCAGCTAATCTAGCCTAGTTGGGGATCATGGCACTTTGGGCGTGGAATACCACACCCACCAACAGAAACCCGGCAGACTTACATTCTGATGATACCAGATATACATACATTGATAACATATAGGAGAAAATTGGTACACTTTTCAGCTAGGTTAACCCCCTGGGCTCCTGATCTATTATGCTCATGGTAGAGACAGTAATAATTGTATATTTGTGGTTTACTTACTACCCTATAGTTTGTCATCTACAACGATATACTTACAGAATTAGAACCAATTTACAAGAAATACCCCCCAATTCCATTAATCAATCTGTGTTCAATGAACAATTTTAATGCCATTTTGAAATTATCAAAGATCCATCTAGCCCAGGAAATTGACAAAATACGTCTTATGTGACGTAAAAGCAGTTGCTGCTAGCTATATGAGCAGGTTAAAAGGTGTTATTTTCGCCGTGGCTGCGAACAATTTGACTAAATTGATGTGTTGATTCATGTACGTCACCTTTTCGTACCAGAAGAATTCAAGTGGACATAACATGGCGCTCAATATGTTTTAGACGCCTTGTTTGTCATACAGAAAAAAAAACCAGAAACGTAAGCAGGGTTTGTCACTCTTATCCAGTCGCATTTCCCATTAGAGATTAACTCACTTCTTCCATCTCCAGTCTTAATCGGAAATTATAATTTACATTAAATGTTTTTTGTTGTTGTTATTTTTCAGACTTTATGAGAGCCTTTCTAGCCGTCGTCTTAATCTTACCAATTGCTATGATATCCATAGGTAAAGTAAAAATATTCTTTATTTCTTAAATTTATAAAAAATGAGACGTTAAGAAAAAGTTACCACAAAACAATGCAGCAGATACTTGCATATATCAGGAAAATATTTCAAAGGTGGGTACAAGTATCACAATTGGCACAAATACCCCCTGGGTGCTACTCTTTTGAAAAACCCATTAGCTGATCGATAGCGGCTATTTTCAAGATGGCCACCCTTTCCAACCGATAATGCATGCAAGCATGTTAAGCACTTCATATGATTTGACATACTTGCATAACATTGTGAAGATATGATGGTGGTATTTAGATCATCCAATACATTTACTGATAAGGTCAGTTTTATTTTTATTCTCGGTAAATATATCAATAATTTACGGAAGCGTATTAGGGCCATTAAATTAAAAATAAATTTCTCATTAAGTCCTGATTAGAAGATACTACATGTAGTTCTAATTAGGCGAGAGTAACTCCTAATTTTCAGATAGTGACTCCTAATTAGGAAATAATAACTCCTAATTAGGATATAGTAACTCCTAATTAGGATATAGTTACTCCTAATTAGGAAATTCAGTATTTACTTGAGAGCTTATCATGGGGACTCCGGTTAACTTGTCAAAAAGCTGTATCGATAATTCAAACGGAGTTCCGCTACATATTAAAGTTAGAGCAAGTAGACCATGGGAGAAACTATTCGTCATAAATCAATCCTAAAATACCATCTACAAAAATGCCGCCCTGGAAACCCGGCCCTCTTCCTACCCTAGCTATGCTACTGACTGACCAGCGTCGCATTAACAGGGGTCGTTTGCATCCGCAGCACTATTGAACGGCATATCAGAACAGACAAAATCTAGCACACTTTTAGTTTTCTTATAACTCAGTTTGTTATCAATGCTTTTAATTAATTCTTAACGTTTACCTTTTGTAAAATCTGACCAGGTAAACAATAACACGTGCGAGAAAGAGCTGAAACCAATCCTATATTCTGTTTAGTTTCTTTGTGGTCAAATTCGAAATCCAAACTCCTATGATATATCAATATAATGTACAACACGTAAATCAAAAAAAAAAAAAAGAAAAAGACAAAGGCCAACAATCATAAAGCAAAACATGTTGAATGTAAACAAAGGAGACGAGATTGAGACGAGATTGAGATGTGAACGAGATGTGAACTATTGAACGTGTCCTAAAGTTACACACTCGTTGTACTTGATTTGCAAACACGAGAACCTATTATTGTACGTATGTTACAAACACGAAAGTATATGTGAATATTTCTCGCAAAGCCCCAGTTCTCGCCTTTAATCAATGAAAGCAGTCTATAGTGTTCTAATTGTGTTGCTTTAAAGATAACCCGAGTAACTCTCATTTCAAAGCCGTCTTCCACCCTGGATTATGACATCTATCGAACCAAACCACTAGACTTCAAAAACATTGACTTGTCAAGTTGTCAAGAAAACCCCATTCTCATCTAATAACCCGTCTACAAAAACATATTAAACCCATTGATAGATGACCATTAATTAAACCGAGGACGTAGAACATATAACTTCGCAGAACGATTATTCTTATTATGGGATAACCTTGGCGTTAGAAGTCCCGTAGGAATGATCACAATGTAAAAAAAATCGATAAGTTATCTGATTTTCGTAAACTTCAGACTAATTCTAACTTATGATAAATCGAATTGACCGATGTAAATTATAATTGGACTTAATAACTTACCTGTGAACATTAATGTTAAATTGTGTGACATTAATTATCTCCCTTCATAAATGTTTCAATTCATTAGTGTGGGGAAGAAAACACCTGCTACCAAGAAATTTTATTATAATGTGATAAATGTTATGATTCAAAGCTATTGAAGTAACATATAAGAACTATTAAAGCCACTGTGTGTGATATGGATTTTGGGACACTATCTCCTGGTTTAATCCACGCTAATATGTATTCAGACGGATTAAAAATAGGCTCATCAGATAGATTCCGAACCATAAACATGGCGTGGTCGTGTTTATCCCTAGACACCAGAATGGCCATTGTACTTATATACATGTAAAACATGTTATAAGGACTGAAAGGCGTTCTGTAGGTATAGAAATCCAGACGATTAAATCAAGAAACATAGGTAATACTACCTTGACCTAGATGTCCATGGATAGAAAAGAATTACTCATCCAGGCGGCTAAGATATCACAAAATAAACAGATGGGTCGTTTTAATTAATGAATTATGGACCAATATGTTTTTAATAATTCGTTTAAATGTGTATATGATTGAAGTTAATACTTGTCTGTTAGTTTGTGATACCATTTCTTTAAGAGTAGAGTTTAGTTAAACTCTGCTTCATTCTAATCTTTTATTACCTCCGCCATTTTTTTATTCTTTTATATTTCAGGCGTGAAATATTTAAATGATTGCCCAGTTCAACCCATGATACCAGTTTATCTACTAGTTGGGGGATGTTTCGGTTTAGTGAAACTCGGGTCGTGTTTTTGGAAGACTATCCAGTCGAAAAGAGACGAGAGTATCGATAATATATACGATGCTGGACAAAAGGGTATATTTTCGTCACGAACTAACCGAGTGATGAGCATCGTGTTATCTGTATTTCTTTCTGTCTGGCACGGATTGGGGACATTTTGGGTCGGTTCGATATGGCGACCGCGCTACAAGCAACTGATTCACGAACCAAGTAACTGGTGTGATTCTACTGTGTATATTTTTGCGATGTGTCAGATTTTAGGATTGTACGCTTTCATGTGCCTTTTTTGTTTGACGTTCTGTTTGTTAGCCTCTATTTTTAGAATGTGTGGCTGTGCTGTTGGAAGTCGGACTGACGTATAAACGAGTTGTGCGATGGTGTATGTACAGCTTAGTCAACGCGCCTCGAAAGAATGATAAAAGTACGAAAAAACATCAATGAAACGATAATGTGCAGTGGATATTCAGACTCAAAACAATCCATGATTACCAATACGTCAGGATTGAGTAGAAAACACGTTCGTCACTTCATGTAAGATGCGAAATCCACGACAAATACGCCACCAATCACAGATTACGGAAATGACGTAACGGATAGAGGACAGAGTCCGATAAGAATCCGCTACGTGCACGTGTACGAACATGCAGTGTCGGCGTATAGAGATGTTGATGACGTTAATGACAAAAAGTGTGCCTAGATGGAGATTGAATGCTTAAGTCAACAATTTGCGATGTACATACATGTATTCTAGATCGTTCCAGATTGCGTTAATGGGACGATTATGAAACACGTGATTACATAATGATCAAAGGTATAGTTTTCGTCCATTGCGAAACCTACACGAAACATCATATTATTGTTAGTAATCGAAGGTAATCTGGAGTGGATATTTGACACATCATGAGTGTGGGCGTTTAATGTCGTCTTTCATGTCCGTCGGTTTGTCCGTCAACAATTGGGTTGTTAACACGATATAGACTACAGTTTGTAACTGATATTTTTCAAATTCAAATTAGGCGTGAAGCATTGGGGCCATGAGAGGACAAATCCGTCCCGCGACCTTCAGTATTTTGAAATTTGGTGTTAAGCATTTCTGGGTCACGAGAGAATAAACACCCCTGATCCCCGCTTTTCGAAAATCTTGTTAACGCGATGGGGGCTACAGCCTTTAATAGATCTTCTGCTAATTTGGTGTTCATGATAGGCTAAACCCGACCCCCCCCCCCCTTTTTCGAAAATCTTGTTAACTTCATGGGAGTTACAGTTTTAAATGGACCTTCTTCTAATTTGGTGTTCATGGGAATCAGAAACCCGAACCCTATCGACATTCGAAGTTTCACAACCTTTTGTTCCGGGACTTCCTCTAACCCCACCCACGTTTGGAAAACTTTATTAACGTGATAGAGACTGAACGGAATAATTTTTTCCAATTTGTTGTGAAGCATTAGGACTGTGGGAGGATTAACCCTATTGATTTTCAAATTGGGTGTGAAGCATTGGGATCGAAGAGGATGAATCCTGTCGATTTTCAGCATTCTTTTTTTCTTTCGTTTGCAGAGATATATTACGTATCCGGAAACGCTTGTTGACACGATCGAGGTTAGATTTCATAATGATAGAAGGGATCCTTATCAAATTCTCCTTTCGGATAAGCTGCTGTCTATGACTATATTGCTGCTGTGTGGGTGTATGTCCACGCTTTGCGTGTCTATATTTAATAAACCCATCAGAAGGTTTATGAGAATTTACTCTGAGTTGTGATTCAATTTAAGTGCTAATTTTTATATGTAATAGAAAACTTATATTGGTATCCTAAATAAAATAATACATAAAGTTAATAGATGATATGCGTACAAATGTGAATTTTTAACATCGAATAATGGCTGGATTGACGAATTCTTAAAAGAATGCTCTATTTTTAAACACTTATTTCGTCTCCATATGTATATGTTGGTCAATGGTCGTTAATTTGATTGTCGTTTGTACAGGAAATGTAAGGATGCCCATATTATTTTGGACCAGGAACTGGACCCTACCCGTCTCATACTGTTCGTATTCTTGCGTGCGACGCCCATGGCACGAAACTTAGCATGCTCGTTCCGTGGACAGCTGTTCATCGGTTGAAGTACTTCGATTTTTCCAGATGGCTGCGATGACATCATAGTAACTTCCTGGTCCATAGTACGAGGGTACTTATTTAAAATAATAAATGAAGTCACAAATAGTAATCATTCATTCCTAAATATATTTACATTTATTAAAAAAAAAACCAAAAAACAACTGAAAACATAAGAAGTATAAATTATTTTATTACAATAAAACGAAAAAATGATTATTTTTCTAAAATATAATCATATTTATTGTTATTTATAATACACATATCATCATTCAAAATATATCTTGAACACGTGGTGTCTTCGTTATTTCAGTATTACAATAAAAAATTATGTTGAAATCAAGTGTTGCTCCATTTAATTTATTTTACTTAATCCTTGAGCAGGAAATGAAGAGTATTGCGGCGTTGTTCTACATGGAAATGAAATGGGGTTTAACGTCCTATTGTTCTGCTCCGACTGGACTAATGAAGACGGGCATACACCATACAGTGTGCTAGTAGGGAAATTTTGCCCGGACTGCGGCTCTACGGCCTACTCTTATATTGAATTCTAATCGCCAAGGGATCTTTTACGTGCACACCAATGTGTAAACGGGATCTCGGTTTTTCGTACCACCCGAACCACTAGACAGCTGTCCTTGTCAGGTCCCGCGTCCTGCACCACTGAACTTTCTCGGTCAACACCGGGATCGAATCCTCGAACTCAAGTCTTACTGACTTAGCCACCGTGACTCCTGTTCTACATGCACAGTCAGAATTCACCGAGTCTAGTTCCAACGAATCCTTGTGTGGACAAGAAAAGTGAGTCCAGTCGTTTCAAAATGGCCACACAAACAACAATTACACTCCTTTCGATTCGTAACAACAGTGTTTTTTATAGTAAACAGACAATACAGAAGAGCTGAATAACAAAATACAGACAGAACAAGAGACACAGTATATACTATTCAAAAAAAGTAGGGGATATTTGATTTTGGGGGCATAATACTAAAATATGCAAATGACTACGAAAAAAGTCACTATAGAACCTAACAGAAGAAACATTTCCAGTTACATGTGACGCCCAAACGCACCAATAGCTACCGCATGGAATGCAGGTGATGCTTGGGATCATCATGGGGGTCCAACCCAAGATTTGCACGACTCTGACTTTGAATGTTACAGTCATTGTGGCATTGAATTCCAGGGTGGAAACATCAGTTTAATTGTTTTAGTGACCAGAAAACAAATTTTGATATGCGTCGGCTTACCCAAAATTAAAGGTTACGTGCCCTTGGCATGCTACAGATCGGCACAACACAGGCGGTTGTGGCGCGGACGATGAATGTTTCTCAGTCTGTCATAAGCAGGCTATGGTCCAGATACCGCGATACACAATCTGTACAGGACAGACCACGCTCAGGTCGACCAAGGGCGACAACTCTAGCCCAGGATCGATTTATCCGTACCTTGGCCTTGAGAAATCGTGTCATCACAGCAAATCAGATCAGCGCTCGTCTTCAAACAGACACTGGTGTGAGAGTGAGTGGCCAGACGATTCGGAATCGACTGCATAGGGATCACCTTCGCGCCCGACGTCCTCGCGTGATCCCTTGTTTGAGAGATCATCACATTCAGGCCAGACGTCGTTGGTGTAGGGATCGTCAACACTGGGATGTTTTCAGATGAGTCAAGGTTCACTGTTGATTTTTTGGACAGACGTAGGAGGGTGTGGCGTCGTCGAAACGAGCGCTTCCAAGACGTTAACGTCATCAGACATGATCGATTTGGGGGTGGTTCTGTTATGGTGTGGGGAGGCATCACTGTTGCTGGAAGAACGGCTTTACATGTTGTTGCAGGGCGTGTTACAGGCCAGTACTACCGGGACAACATCTTGGCAGTCCATGTTGTGCCGTTCGCACGACGTCATGGCCGCCGTTTCATCTTCCAGGATGACAACGCAAGTTGTCACAGGGCCAGGATCGTTACAGGTTACCTCCAACAACAGAACATCACCACATTACCTTGGCCAGCACTGAGTCCCGACCCCTCCCCCATCGAGCATGTCTGGGACATGCTTGGACAGAGGTTACGTCAACGTCAACAACGTCCTGCCAATGTCCAAGAACTTGCTGCTGCGTTGCAACAGGAATGGGACAATCTGGACCAAAATGACCTTAGACGTCTCATTAGGAGTATGCCACGTCGGATCAATGCTTGTTTGGCAAACAGAGGAGGATTTACCCGTTACTGACTTGGTTGTGATGCTGTGGTAACTTTGCTGTTTGACCCCGGGTATCATTTTACCCTTATAATGGTCAGTCTGTGCCTTACTTAGTCTAACGATCATTTGGAATAAATCGATGAATGTGAACTTCATTTCATTTTGTCATTTGTTTCTTCGTCAGTTTCATTAGGTGACTTTAATAACACTTAAAAATCAAATATCCCCTACTTTTTTGAATAGTATATAATTAAATTCTCTTCCGTGAAAGGTATCATATCGATGAGACAATTAGACCGGAGGCTCAGCGCGGGGGGTTGTCCATCAAATGGGCACAAAACCAGACCCAACTTTTCTAGAGTAAAATTTTGCGTAGAATACGATGGCGAGTGGTAATCAGTCCGTCGTTGGGGCATTTTCGAGATATTCGGGGTCAAAGGTCAAATGAGTTCATTTGCACTGAAAGTGAATGCGCAGTCATTCTTGTATTATGAAAAGAAGGTGAAAATGATCGAAAGTAATCACCTTTGACCCTGAATATCTGGAAAACGCCCAATGGCGGACTGATTACCACTCGGCATCGTATTCTACACAAAATTTTACTCTAGAAAAGTTGGGTCTGGTTTTGTACCCATTTGATGGACACCCCCCCCCCCCCACCCTTGCGCTGAGCCTCCAGACAAAATGTATAAAAGTTGCATAACAAAATACGGAGAGGTGCAATATATAATTAAATTCCCTTCCATTAGTAACAAACTTGTCTTTATGACAAGGTGAAGTCAGTCCAGATCGAAGTTGACAGTGGCGCTGAAAATATTCAGAAACACGGGATATTTAAAATTCATACTTTTGAAACCAAAGACCCTTTCAGTTACCGTTTGAGAAGCTTGTTGATATTAGGTTTCCCTGACATCTAATACGTTCATCAATATTGTTTCAGAACACTCTGTGAATATTATGGCATAACTTGACAACTCGGTGGTGTTAGAGTAGAGGCGTGGTGACAGATGATTTTATACGGAAACTATCGGTCACCATACAATATATTACTATAAAGGGAAATAAATCTGTTATTAAACGGATACAGACCACCATTAGTTTGTTTCCTCATTGACTTAACTATTAATTTTGATCTCTTTTCCCGGTTTCCCGGTTTCTCCAAAATGTTCGTTAGGCTTAATCTTTTTTAATACAGACAGAGCAACGACTGGCTATCATTGAAATTTTGAGATACACAAACTGAAGTACTATAATAAAAACAAGTCCATATTACCGTAACCAAGCTCTTAACTCTCGCCGATAGGGGCGGGGAAGGAAATGGTGAAATGGCGAGGAAACAGTAAACGATGCTATCAATTCCAACAACAATCTAACACTTGAAGCAAAAAGTAGACTTGTTCGCTCCTTAATCCTATCCCGATTAGACTATAGTAATAGTCTCCCTTCTTGGTGGTGTGTCCAAAGATTCCATCAATAAGTTACAAAAGATACAAAACACTGCCGCTCGGATGGTATCTCTTGCTCCATAAATATTTCATGTATCACCAATATTAGACTCTTTAAACTGGCTGTGAATACAGGAAATGATTGATTTCAAGATTCTATCACTGACATATCAATGTATTAATAACCGCAAAGTTGTAGTCTTCCCGGAGTTTACGCTCAGGTGATCAAACACAGTTGGTAACCCCAAGGTGGTGAATGTTTATCAGAAGTTCTCCTTCTATTGAAAGTTTTAAATTCAGATATAAAACATACTTAATTAAATATCATATTTAATTTAAAATTGTATGTAGCAAGCGCATAGAGGATACTTTAAGTGTGGAATTGGCGCCATACAAATATTCATATTCATATTCATATTATTATTATTATTATTATTAAGGATCATTTCCATTCTCGTAGATGCTGCTGCATCTGACAGGTGAAGATTGAATCATTTAACAGACGGAATTATCACTACCATAAATAAAAACATACAAAAACAAATTTCCTTTTATAGAGAATCTCCTACGAGTCTTTTTTCATATCAAAATAGACAAACAGAAGATTTATCACCCAACCCTTTGCATCCTTTTTTAATTGACCAATCAAATTCATGTAAAGCTATAATGGGATATCGCTAAGTAGAATATAAAAGTCATCACACAAATGATATCTACTGTAGAATGTGTTATTGTGTGATAAATTTATATATTCACTATATCTATGTCCATATAGATATTGATTATGGTTTGATTTTTTTATGGTATCGTTACATCACCCATTCTCTGAAGAACTATAAGATACTTTAAAGTCGTCAATAAAACTCAAAGAAGCATTATGTAAGAATTAGATAAAGGGTTGATCGTACTTGCTATAATACTTCAAAAACAATTAATGAAAAAATGGATATATTGAAAATTTCAGTATCATTGTTTCGATAATAAATAAAAAAGTTTCCATTTTCCATTTTTAATTATTAACTCGATTGCAAATTGGAACCATCTGATGATCTTGAGAGTTAAATATGGGCCTGGCATGTGAATACATGTCTAATTAATAATTTATATAACATTTATAGCCAAAATAAAGACTTGCGATAAGCAGATTTATCTCTTACATAATGAATCTTTAAATAATGGAATATTTGAAATATTTATAGAGGATGTTTGTACTCTCAGAAATAACAGAAAATTCCGACCGGTATTGATTGTAATATTGTTATTTCAGCGGCGGTTAAATGCACGAACCTACTTGAAAATAGCCTTTGAAATGTTGTTTTAATTTGGTGATTCAAATAACAATTACTTCCATATAAAAACATAATAATATTTTTTAGCTTGTTATTTCGCAGACAAATGAGAAATGGTATCATGTGTTAAAGTTATGCGGGGAAACTGACGAGGGGTGTCATTAATCCGATAGGGTAAGGTGGTCACCAGTTTTTCCTGATATCAAAAATATCGACAGAAGTAGATTAATCCATGGACCTTATAATACCATATTTGTAACATACTTTTAAGTCCTATTGGTACATGTTTAATTTTAAAATAGCATATCTAATAGAAATGGAAATGAAACATGGTAGCCCCGGGTCTAACCAAAGTGCGAGAAGATCACTTCTACTGGTCAGCTGATTTGAAAATGAAATGACAATTGGTCAGTTGATCATTCAGGTGTCTCTGCTATCCAGACCCCCATAGTGTCGTCTTTACCCAAACCTGGTCCTATAATGCTTCGTATACGTGATCAATATATACGATCCTGGGATGGGATCCGTAGAAACCTATCTATTGAGGAAGGTCGATATTATAAAATATTAGCACAAAATAGAATATGTGAATTATGCCATGAGTCTGTAGAAGATGAATTTCACTTTACACTTTGTTGCAAATCTTTAAATCACTTAAGAACAAAATATATCCCTAAATTTTATTCACTTCACCCAACTGTTTATACATTTAATGAATTAATGTCTACGGATAATGAAAATCTTCAAGTTAAATTATGTTAATATGTTTATGAAGCCTTCAAACTTCGCAAATCATTACTTACTATCTGAGCTGTTACTTCTATAAAATTTCATGTTATGAATTTTTCTATGTTATGTGTTACCATTGTTGTACTGTGTTTAAAAGCTAAAAGTCTATGACATACAGCTATATGAATAAAAACTTGAATAAAAACTTGAAACTACACAGCGAGTCTGGATAGTATATCATAATTATGTACCAACTCTACAAAACGCGGACTTGCTGTTGGCTAAGACATGAATTGACCTTTCGCTGATTGGATAGTTTCAAGTGTGATCGGTATTTTTTTTTAGAACAAATCAAATTCGGGATAGTGAGTTTAGTTCCCCATTATTTTAAAAGGTGTTTTTGTCATGAATTCTGTTTCTGGCTACAGGAGGATATTATTGTGAGTAAACGGGTCCTGGGAAAGGCATCCTCTGTCACTGATTATCTATACCTATACATGAGTTCATGTAAGAGTCGTCATTACGCGCGGGGTTGGGGCGGGAGAATGCTCTAATGTATGCGATTTAGATCATAAGATCCTTCATTAAGTCAAATGGCGTGGTTTCGGTCCCACAAGGAGTAGGAATTGAATACAGTTGTACCATTCGTTAGTCCCGGAATGACCTGCATCTACTATGTGTTAAGTGGACGTTAAATTCCGCCTCTCTCTCTCTCTCTCTCTCCCTCTTTGTCAGTTTATATTTAGGTCATTTTGGGACTAACATACAGAGCATGTTTATGTCTGCTTACATGTGCAATGCGCCTTTAAAAATTTTAACCTCGAAAAGAGCTTTTACGACCACTACCAAGTAGTACAAGGAACTCCGTTTTATCTTTCCACCAGAACGACCACAGACACGTTGCTTATAAACCACGAAGGCGTGACCCCTGACAAAAACGAACTCGTGTGAACATTTTCGATGGTTCTTCTCTGTCCACGTCATGCCTAGATAGCAAGCCGAGACATTCTAGTTATGGATCCAGTGTCATTGTAACTACCCCGCATCCTTTTATTCGTTGGTTCGCTAACCCCGGTGTTAGCCGAGAAAGTTCGTCGGGGTTTTCCGGCGTCATTCCCTCTTGTAAGTGGTGCAGGACAGAGGGCCTGGTAAGAGACAGTGTATAGTCGTTCGGATAGTACGGGAAATCGAGGTCTCGTTAACACATTGACATGCACGTAAGAGATCCCCTGGCAGTTGGAATTCGATATAAGAGTAGGTCGTTGCGACGTTGTCCGGGCAAAATTTCCCCTATAGCACACTGTGTGGCATACGCCCGTCTCCATTAGCCCGGTTGGAGCAGAACAGCAGGACGTTAAACCCCATTTCATTTCATTGGTATTTCGTTTCATCTCGTTTTCCTAATGTTATATTTTTTTTTTTTTTACATGTACCACATGGATCATCTCAGTTGAAAGAAATGACTGAAATATTTGTCCCTGAACGTTCCCCAATTAAAATAGCCAGATTTTCACAAAAATCAATTCTACAAATCAAAGTTACAATTGCAACGAATATAGCTCTTTATGAAGGTCATTTAATAGTTATATTATTTTAATTTGATAACACAGTTCGAAGGTACCCCCATAATATCCACGTTTACATCTTACGTCGTCATCATGTATCGTCTAGTGCATAGTGGGCTTTATGGTCATTCACCTGTACATTCCACGCCCTAAAAAATACGACGGAATGTGACGCAGTATTTTCAAACAATTTGAAACAACTATAGTAATATAGGTCGTCTTTATCTATCAAAGTGAATTATCTGAAGTCGCCCTCCATGATTCTTTACACAAAAGGGTAAAATATGCCTTAGAATGAGTGTTAATGTCAAATGTAAAAAAAATAATAACAGGAAAAATGTTGACTATGGGTTTTGGACCTATAGGCTATTTCGTTGAAATTTTGTGAAAATGCAGAGCTTAACAGAATATAATATTACTAATAATATTAATATTTTGTTTTATCTTTTGCTTAAATCTTGTGCTTGTACATGTATCTGTAAATCGCTAGCAAGCATCGAAGTTCGAAATTGCACAAATGGCGATTTAAAGGACAATTCATATTGACTTCAAGGAGGTAAAGTACTCTGTTAAAATGTTAAAATCATATTTGATACCAATTTTAGAAATAATCTCTCTTTTCAAATTAAACTATTGATTAGAAATGGAGTTTAATGACTCGTCAGCACGGTCATTATATTTCGCAATTTTAGTTTCATTTTTTGCCAATCTTATTAAAACACAGATCCAATTTCGTTTCGTTTTTTATAGTTCAAAATTTCGTTTTACTTGTCTTTACTACACTAGTATCTGGAAGAGTTGTTATATAACCCGCGTTCTGGTTGGTGTGCGATGTACGGAACTGTAGGTATCCTACAAGAAACATCAACGCTGATTGGTTAATCAAATATTTTACGTCATAGGTCAAAAGCCGCTCGTACGAACCCTGTCGCGACCTCCGACCAGATCTTGCAGTAGATCTGTATTTTAATCAGATTGATTTTTTGTTTTCCTTGTCGATATATTGACACAGATATACACGTATCTCAACAATGGCTCTATATGTGGTTATATAGTCTAACGACAGGAGATATATCAGATAAATGTTAAATACAATTTAATTTGAACACCCCCGATATCTTTTATATCAGATCAAATTATTTATGGACATTATTTTATCCGATCGTGATTTATTTGTATATTGTAATCTAATCTGTTGAGGACAATACATTGGTAAATCTAACAATGCTGTATTAATATATATGTATTCCAGGTAATCTAATGAATGAAAAGAAGCGGAAAATAACTTACTACTTTTCTCCACTTATTGTGAGTGAATTTTAGCCCGGGTAGCAGTTGAATTCCAACTGTCAAATGTTCTTTTACGAGCACACCAACGTGTACACGGGGGCTTGGTTTTTCGACCAACCGAATGACTAGGTATTGTCCTCACCAGGCCCGCTTGTCCTGCATCACTGACAAGGAGGAACCAGACTGGAAAATCACACAGCGACCCCCTTAATGGCCAATCTAATAAGTCGCTCGACAAATTAATCTGCAGTAGTTTTGTGATACACTGATATTGTGCTGCATGTGTGTTGACAAAAACCACAAGTGAGAAGATAAATGAACATCTATTGGTCAAGCCCATACCATATTGATGAATTTACTTCAGCCATTTTGACCAGTAATGTCTAAAACATATGCACATGACCTTTAATGACCATGCAGATAAATCTTGAATCACAGATGTTGCTTGTTGTTTCTTCTTTTAAAAGAAAAAGTTTTATCATAATCAAGTAATCATCTTATTATCTTTCACAAAAAGGCATTTTAGGGTTGTCAATAGATTGTCGTGTATATCGTGTTGGTTAATTGACCAATATGTACGTATAGTGTAAACGACAGTGAAGGGCTGTGTTTTTGCACACGTGGTGTTAGTTTTACAAACTTTAAACCATGTGAGGTATAAATTCTGTCAATCACCCGAAAAAGATCACACAAGATGTCCTTGATAGCCGGTCATTTCTCATTCAAGACAGTCTAGCTAAAAGAGGTATTGAAATTGGAGAAAGAAAATTGGGAAAATATAGTAAATAACAGCAGATCGGGTAAGCCATTTTCAGTGATAAATATGCATGTATTATAGTTTCCATTGCAATCTGTGACTACAATTTAAAGAAAGGTAAAATTAAAAAAAATAAAAAAACATTGCTGATTTTATTTGTGTGTGATAAAACATATTCAGATTGTCTTTTAAAGTTTGGGTTTAATGTACATTTAAAATTTAAAGTAAAATTATAACTCTTGTGGTCCAAGTTCAAGAAAATAAATGTAATTATTTAACCCCTGTATTGACCTACTTAGAATAAGATATTTTCACTGACGTTCGTAAAATACACCGAAAACCACAAAATGATAAATTAATGATAACTATAGGGATTGTCAGGCTTGTCTCAAATTTCGATTACATCAACTCGAAAATAGTTTTTTTTACCAATCGAGCAACGCCATCAAAGTTATAATTCTTCTTTAAAATGTCAAGCACTAGGTATGTTCTCACTAGACAAGAAACGTGGACATACGCATTGTCTAGGGGATCTGCCTACGTCACTTCCTGCTTACTTTGTAATTTTGAAAATAAATGATTAGAAATGTTACATTCCCTTTAAAGATGCAATATATAAGATATAGAACTGCCCGTTCTTGGTTCAATAGTTCACTAATAGATACTGAAAAGTACATATATTGAAAATTTCATTCAAATTACTATATTCTGAGCCAAGCCATAACTGTTGGAAGATGTAGCTGGCGTTCTAGCCAATTTTAAATATCTGCCACCCCGATGTTCTAGAGAGTTGAGTATGGCCTTGTCATGTTAATATATGTCGGAATAATAGTTTATATAACATTTGAAGCCAAAAAAAAGACCCACAATAGACAGATTTAATTCTTACACAATGTACCTTAAAGAATTTATAAAGTACATATAACACGTGGTAAAATTATTTGGTTTCTAGCCTTTAAATCTAAGTGAATAAAATCATCAAGTGTCACATACTTATGGAAAACAGCAACTATTATATTTTGTCGACCTTTCGAAGAGTATTCTGTCAACGTTATTATTAGTTGTGCGCGAGTCCGGATTAACTGATTCATTTTCGGGAAGTGATGAAAATTGGAAAAATTAGATTGGATTTGTTTGTTTTAAAATTTGTCAGTGATCATTGACTGGGGTCCTGGCACCGAAAAATGTCTAGTGTCGCCATTGATCCGGTGGGTACAGAAAAGTAGGACGTTGAATGCTTTATCATAACATTTAACATTCCATTTGTTTTCAGGTCGTTGTTTGATTTGTAACAAATTATACACATATAATTAACATATCTATTTGGAATGTCGTTAACGCACGGTGAAACAAAAGAAAATTTCTGGGTTTCGGATGTTTCATTTTTAGATTTTGATCTTGTGTCCCTGGATCATTTTCCTGGGATAATAGCCTACCTGTTATAATGGTCTTAATCGCACGCTTTAGATCTAAAGGTATGTCACTGAGTCAAGTAGTGTTTTGATTTCCTGCTTGTATGTAACAAGGAGTAGGGTCGCCTGTCCAACCTCGTGGGTTTTCTCCGGGCCCCCGTTTCCCCCCGCTGCTCAAGACCCATCCATGTACGTAAGAGAATTATTATTGAAATAAAATTGAACCATTTGATAATCTCGAAATGAACTAGTTTGTGTCGAGTGGACGTTAAATCCTATATCTCTCTCTCCCCTGTATCATCCAAATTACATGAATATAAGTTACATTACTTCAGATGGTCCGTACTATATAATACAAACTGAAGAAGTTGTACACGGGAGAGAGAGAGAGAGAGAGAGAGAGAGAGAGAGAGAGAGAGAGAGAGAGAGAGAGAGAAATGGGTTAACGTCCACTCGACACAAACTAGGTCATTTTGGGACTAACTTATGGTTCAATTTTATTTCAATAATGCGCTTGCGCTTTTGGGTCTTTGCAGGGGGGGGGGGAACCCGGAGAAAACCCACGAGGTTTGACAGGTGACCCTACTCCTTGTTACGTAAAGCCGGGGAATCGAAACCACACCTGTTGACTCAATGACAGACCTTAAGATACAGCGCGCACGTGCTAACCATTCGGCTACCCCCGTCCACCACAGATTTAGCCTCCTACTGTTCTACCTGGCTAATGCATACGGGAAGGCATATATTGCCAGATAGCGGCCCTTTACCCTTATTTCGAATTCCAAATGTCTTGCGTTCTTTTACGTTCACGCCGATGTGTACACTGGACTTCGGTTTTTCGTCTCATTCAATCAACAATATAATGGGAGGACATATTATGGGTATGTGTTTCGGTGTCGATTAGTGCCGGGCGATACACCGAACGTGACGTCATTTCCAAAATTAATATTGTTCAGATTAAAATTGGTTTTATGATTTTTGGATATTTCAAATTAAACATCATATATCGTCATCGCAGACCGAATCCATTATATTGTTTGTTGCCAGCTAAGTACAGTATGAACTACATACGTCACAAACTATAAATCTATCAGAACTCGCGCACTAGTGCTAATCCTTAAATCAGATAAAGCAAATACTCTCTGTCAAAAGCTAATGATAAATGTCATAATAATCGGTAATATTTAATTTATATTTTCTAAAAATAATAGCTACACTTACTTATCATAGTAAATATTTTGGTTACTACTTTATACTTTCGAATTAGGTGAATTTGCGAACAGTGCGACCTTATGTGAATTAACAAAGTAATGAAAAGCCACGCTTGAAATCCATGTTATCAATTCACTTGGCTATTTAACTGCACGAATCGCGAATATGAGTAGATATGTTAACATTTATTGGAATATTTCCAATGTTTCGGGGACCGTTAAAGATTGGCGGGAACTATGATATAATATTAGGATATGTCTAAGATTGCATATCAAAGCTGTTGGCTGGTAGTTGTAGCCAGGGTGCCCTTATGGCTCCCCAAAGCTAAATATATGACGGTCCATTTATAAAGTACCTCACTTTGCCAGGGGCAGGGACAATATTTAAATTAATCATATTGATATTAAAGCAGAGTATTGGGTAGCAGTCCCGCCTCCACCTACTGTTTTTTTTTTAAATTTCCGATACCTAAAAACAACATTATTGTTGTAATTAATTAAGCCAGTTTTACGGTGTGTCTTGTAAAAATATAATTCCCGGCTAAAAGGGGAGGCGTGCGAGTGCATATATCTAAGGTCGTTCGACACAAATATGCACTGCACTCGCACGCCTCCCCTTTTAGCCGGAAATTATATTTTTAGTAAAAAGTAAATTAATTTTGACATTTTAATTTGTGTGTAACCAAATAAGGGCGAAGGGTAATTTTAAAGATTTTACAGGTTTATCGATTGTTGTTATTGTGTAAGCGGTTATGTAACGTTAGTTTAAACTCTATAATTAATCTTGCATTAAACTTTAGAATTAATCTTGCACCATTTTCATGTATAGTATAATGCAGACAGATGGATATACAGCTTTCATTGGACTATTAAACCTGTAATTTTAGATGAAGTAGCCGACACAACATGGACGAAATGCAATTACCCTGTCCTCCCCTTTCGCTTTCACAATGGACGATTGATAATGTCCACTAACATAATGGTAATGCTTCTCTGTTAAAGGAAATTTGATATCCCCTGTCCAGTACTGCATAACACCTAAATCACTTGAATGATTCATTTATTCTTAAGGGAACAACGAGTTGGTTTAAGACAGAGGTCAGATCAAGAAGGAGGGAAGGATGAAGAACGGTTCATATTCTTCACTGAACGTGCCTCAAAATGCACAGGAGAGCCAGTCGAAGTTACAAAGAATTAAAAACGGAATTTTGGAATTTTGTAAACCAATTTTGGCAGAAAATTACAAACTGAACGAAAATTCGGGATGTTGGCACCAACTGAAATACAGTTTTATGTGTCCAATACATGGAAAAGTTGCAATGTGGGTTACCAAAATTATAGGTGCAATAGCTATTTGGGGAACTTTCTGGGCTTTAACTGGTGAGCAAGCATTACCTGGAGGAAACTTTTTCGGTTTGTTAATACTCATCTACGCTTGTGTTTTAGCAGCTGCTTTTGTGGAGTTAACTCCCTTTCCATCTCTTCTAGGTAAGTTGTTATTGTGTCACGTAAACTGTTTAGTTATTCTTGATGTGTGTGTAGCCGACTGATCTCGCTGTCAATTATTAGAGCAGTTATCCATGTGATGGGTTCAACAACAGGCTGACAATGATATCAATTTACTGGAAATTTAAGAGTACAATGTCCTTGGGATATTTTGACACTAACACATCGATATTATACTATAGATTCTTATATTATAGTATTTTAACAGATAAGATCGCGTCAGTGGGTACTGTCAAAGACCCTCACCCCTTTAGATAACACCCGCACAACAAGACTATGATTAAATCGCACTTTCATTTTTTTACCCTAGTCAAAACGGTCTTGTCATTTTAGATATACGCAATTATTAATTAAATTTTGTTATTATATTTTATGTATAAAAATGTTTATTATTACTATTAGGTATGCTTCTTGTTGGATTTTGCTTGAGAAATGCTCCGGTTATAGACGAAGCTACTAAAATTGATAAAGTGTGGGCGTCAACTCTCAGGTATATTTACATATATTTATTTTATAATTAATTAAAATGGGATCGTATGGCACCAATGTATAGCAACTGCACAATAATATTAAAGGCTTGGCAAACATGGCATTGTGTTCATTTTTAATTACAATGTACTAACTCTAAATTAGTTTTGGATATGAACCCTTGTTCAGTGCCCAGGGAAGAGACATTTACAGGGGTTTTTCCTCCCACCCTTCAGCGAATCGAATTTAAACTGTCAAGGGGCCATTTTGTGCACTTACACCTAGGGCAGACGAGCGTATTTTTTGGCCCGATCGCGCCGATTTTGAAAATAGCTCGACAAAATCGCCCGTGTGCCCGTTCACGGCAACAACGATCCTGCTCGGCGACCATTCGAACGACCGATCGTCCGTAATTAGCATGTTAGATATGTTCGGTCAGATATATTACATCGGCGATCGATTCGCCGGCATATCCGCTCGTCTGCCCGGGTCCAGCGTATATTGTCGCGAAACATTTTCATAAGCCAGTCGGAGACATCATTGATATCACATGATCTCAAAATGACTGCCTCCACTGCCGAATCGTGGAGTCTGACGAAAGAAGAATTGGTGATTCTTTGGGCAGAAAGGACTTGTGTGTTTGATGTCACGAATCCAGAGTTTTAGGAGCAAATAACTTCGCCATTTTGTACAAGTCACGTGATCGACGTAATTTACTCGTGTCTCCGTTTGTGGTCGGCCGTCAAAAATCCCTGGCGAATTTCAATCGCCGCGATCAGGCGAAAAAATACGTTCGTCTGTCTATAGCATAAGCGTCATAATCATACCAAACACTGAAATAACACAATGTTAGTAAAATTCATATAAAAAATGATACAAAAAGCGATGTTTATCCTGTTAAAAAAAAACATTCCATAAAAAATCAACTTATTTGTTTTATGCCAATTAAATGACTAAATCAATTAATCATTTAATGGCCGGGTAAGAATTTATTATTATTTCAAAACATGTATTTTCCTATTTGCCTAATTGATTTCAATTCAGTTAATTGCATGTGAATACAAATATGATACGGTAATACATTACATTTTCATTAAAACATTACAAAGAAATAAATGAAACTTTTGTTAAGTCTAAATACAAACATCCTATTTAATTAAAGCCTGTGCACATAAAGGATTAGCCCGACATTTCGTCTGTAATATATAGTGCACTGTGTTGGTGAAATATGTTTCCAAACACAATGAATAAATGAAATAACGTTTAACGTCCTACTTTCAAGCTATAATCAGGCTAATGAAGATGGGTATATGCCATGCAGTGTACTATGAGGGAAATTTTGCCCAGACAGCAATACAATTCCAACTGTTAGTGGTTCTTTTAGGTGCAAGCCAAGATTACACGCAACCTTATTTTTTCGTCCCATCCGAACGACTTGACGCAGTTCCTAGCCAGAATCTCCGGTATGTACCACTGACAAGGGAAATTTGGCGGGAAAAGTTTCCAAAAGCAGTCTTTGTTTACTTTAGTCTTTAATTGTGCCCATTTAGTATAAACTAGTCATTGTATGGGTTAACGCTTAAATAAACTTTGGTCAAATAAACTGAAATGAAATGGGAAAACGTCACCAAATAGGATAGAATCGGAATTCATTTTAAATTCTCTTTAATCCAATACTTTGGTTATTTTGAGACTAAAGCATGCGGTAATTATTTTTATCTATGGTCGGAAAGAGAATTTTGCGGTGCTTTCCACAGGCGGTACCTCTTAAACAAATGGGAATCTGGAGATTCAATTCTAGGTCCACGCTACAAGTCAGGAGTCCGATCAAAAACCGCGTATGACCTCCCCAAATACAATACGATGGTGATGGAGACTATTGATGCAAGATATATTGGCGAATTCGGTATGGTGGTCGAATTATCCGCTTGCATGAAGGGAGAGAGAAACTGGCGTTTAACATCCACTCGACACAAACTCTAGGACATTTCGGGACTAATGGTTCAATTTCATTGCAGTAATAGGGGTCGTTAGCAGTGGGAGCAAACTAGAGGACCTAGAGAAAACCCTTCTGTTGGTCAGTCGACCTTTTTCCTTGTCACATACAAGATTGGGATCGAAACCACACCACTTGAATCAATGACAAACATTACGATCTAAAGCGCAGATCTTAGACCATTCGCCCCTCCCCTTCCCCACAAGGATGAAGGTTGGGTTGGGTTTTTGAATTCATCTTTTAGTTTTAGTTATCTACGAAGAGCATAACAAAGTAATTTCGGTACTCGAGGCTGCTGATGGATATTCACTAAATACTAAACAAATAAATGACAAAAAGTGGGGAAAATTCTTAAAATATCTTCTTTTGCTGTTGTTGCGTATATATCTATATGTTTCAGATTTAAACATGTGTCTATTTCAGAACCATTGCTTTAGTAGTAATCCTAGTGAGGGCTGGATCAGGGCTGGATCCAAGAGCTTTGAAAAAAGTCAAATGGATGGCGCTGCGGTTGGCATTTGTTCCGAGTATCGCAGAAGCCGTATCTGTAGCAGTTTTGGCTCATTATACTTTGGATTTCCCTTGGATTTGGGCATTTATTATAGGGTAAGTTTACAGCAGCCAACCATTATACTGTAAAGTATTTTCATTACCGGGCGACGTTAACTGCAATCACTTGATATTATCATTGAGACAATGGCCTCTATCATTACGTCTTGACTAAATACTATGGTGCCATTAATTATGACCTTATATTGAAAGACTTTATGCATGAATTTAGCGATATAGAGTGCCTCGTCAAAGTTGAATCCCTAATAGGAATTCTAGTCCAAAGGTATTTACAAAGATATGACGAACTCAAAATTCCATCGATCTATGCTGTGGGCCAGTTAAAAACCCGGGATATAATCTAGTGATTGTATTTTGATTTTGTTTTCACAATTAAATGATAATCATTCAATCTGTGTACATAATTATAAGCATGGATTAAGTTGTAAGAAATTTGATATTTTCCGAAAAAAATGCAAATCACGTTAAGTGATAGTGATAAACAATGACCTGTATGATGACGTTATGATTTGTTCAAGCCAATAGAGAATCCCATAAATTAAGGTTTGATTTTTGTCTGACTGGTTTACATATGTCAATGATATATATACAAGAGGTCGGGATACAATCAATAGGTACAGTCCAATAACGTAGGTGGAGTCGGATTCGCTCAAGGTGTTGGTCGAGAAAACAGAGGTTTCGCGTTCACAGTAACGTGCACGTAAAAGAACCCTTGACAGTTCCAATTCAACATAAGAGTAAGTCGTATCTCCGCTGCCTGGGCTAAATTTCCCTCAACCCACACTATTATACGTATTGTCGTCTTCGTTAACCGAGGCGGCGCAGGAAAGTAAAACGTTTATCTCCATGTTATTTCATATTTTGATGATTTTATAGATGTGAAATGTTGATACAATTTATTCCCTTGTTTCGTTGATAGTTTTACATTGTCTGCTGTATCACCAGCTGTTGTGGTACCAAGTATGATTGGAGTACAGGAAAAAGGATATGGTGTCGCAGAAGGCATACCTACTTTATGTATAGCGGCTTGTAGTTTAAATGATGTGTTTGCAATCAGTGGATTTGGTGTAATGTTGGGAATCGCCTTCTCAAATGGTAAGTGAATTTCTTGTATGATTTTAAAATGTGTAAAATGAAAATTTACCAAGGTTCTTCAAATCTTTCTTATATTTCTTAACACTAATAAGAGTAGGTTTGCATGTCCAACCTCGTGGGTTTTCGCCGAATCCTCCGGTTGCCTCCTACTGCTAAAGACCCCTATACACAAATGAATTATTGATATGAAATTAATCGCATTTGTTAATCCCGAAATGACATAGTTTGTGTCGAGCGGGCGTTAGCACTCATTTCTCTCGCCCCGGACACTGGTAGAAATGCTTTAGTAAAATACAGACGTCTGTATTAATGACCTCTACTAAGCGTCCATTGTCGATGGCTTCAATTCAACAAATACTCTTTGGCCTGTCCATGCTCTTAGGATCATCTTCACCGTGTTACAGAATTCTTGTATACCAATTATACATAGTCGAGTCGTTCGTGTTTGTGGACCCATGGTGGCGAAGTTAGACGTTGAATAGCTAACCTAGAAATCCCGTGTTCGAGCCAGATGTTGGCCGAGAAAGTTCATAGGGATTTTCCGGCTTGGCAAGGGACAACGTATAGTTGTCCGTATGGGATGGAAAAACTGAGGCCCCGTATACACATTGACAGTTGAAATTCGAAAAAAGAATAGGTCGTAGTGCAGTCATCCAGGCATAGTTTCCCTCACAGCACACTCAATAGCGTATGCCCTTTTCATTAGCCAAGTCATTTCATTTCGTCCCAGTTGGAATTTGACAGAGATAAATAACAAAAGGTCGTGATAGGTACGACAAATGAGTTTCGCTAATATTTTTCCCTGTTAAAAGTCAATTAGGATATTGTGAAGATGATTTAAGACAAGATTAAATGTTTTTTTATAAATACCCACCTATAATTTTAATGGAATTCTATAATTTTATTTTTCAGCTGATCTTGTGTATAATATATTCCACGGTCCACTAGAAATAGTACTTGGAATATTATTTGGTGTTGTAGTTGGTGTTATAAATTGGTATATCCCCAATAAAAACAGTGTAAGATTCTCCTTCAATATCCAAATAAAAGTACAAATCTAAAGGCACATTCGACTGTTTGATACGTCTTTATTGTATGTCAGCTGCTGTGTGTATTTTACGAATCCGGGAATGTGGTTTCTATTTCCAGTTCAGTGGGGGAGGTTATTTGCAGACGGAAAATTCATTAACGCGGGAATTATGTGTTATGGTTAGGGCTATGATTAGTGTACGTACCTCGGTCGGTGCTTTTGACGGAGTTGTCACTTGTTTGTGTCAAGACTCAACGTGTTTTACTACCCTTATGTTGTCCTTGTGGGAATTTCTCATTTGATTTAGTGGCGTGTTCCTTGGTGAATAATCGCCATCTTGAATTGAAATAATCAACACCATCAGGCGGACCTACAGATTCAAATACCGATGTTTCGAATCAGAAAATCTTTAGAGCATAAACTGATTGTATTTCGACAATCAAGCACGTCCTTATGACCGATCCTGCGAGATTTTGTTCTTTTTTTCATCTACATGTACAATATAAATATTTTTCTATTTCATATTTATTGAAGCTCGTATATCCTAATACAAGTTTCTTAATGATCATAGATTCTTAAATAATTGTATATTTGTTTGCTTTTTTTCCAGAAAAATTTATTAATGTACCGATTGATATTAATTTTATCCTTGGGGATGTTGGCTACCTTTGGGTTTCGTGTTGTTAAATTCCCAGGTGCTGGAGCTCTTGGGACACTAACGATGGCTTTTGTTGCTGGAATAGGATGGAGGGCGCGTGGCTGGGAAGATCATGTAAGTTCTCCATGTACAACAATTCATATATTGATTTCAGAATTTAAAGCGACATTAGTGCTTTTCGGGGTCTATTTGGTTTTGACTAGTTACACTGGGAATGTTCAATTTAATGTTTGCAAATTAAACACGAATCAAATAAATAATCGCCGTAAAGATATAGACGTTTCAATTTACGCGTCATACAGATATTTAGTGGTTTTCATGGAGTTTAAGGAATTGTCGTGAAAAATACATTGTTATATACTGTTATTTTGGATACTGGATTTTTTAAAATATATTTATTTTTTGGTAAGAAGGATAAGGCCTTTTCATACTCAATTCTAATTCATGATCAGTAAAAGAAATGTGAAATATTATAGCTTTCGTAAATAATGCTCATGATTTTTTTAGAGTGTCAGTGCAAAGGATCGTACTCATTTTTAAAATCAAAGAGAAGTAATTTTCGAAATTAGGCGGATATGCCGCTAGCCGGACAAAATCTTCCCCATAGCACACTGCATGGTGTATGCTCGTCTTCATTAGGGCTGAAAAGTAGGACGTTAAACATTAATTCATCGATTCTTTCAGTACCCAATTAAACCGGCTTTAGCTAAATGTTGGCAAGTATTTCAACCTTTACTATTTGGACTCATTGGTAACGCCGTATCTATTGAAAATTTACAAAGTGGAAATGTTGGTAAGTATGCTTCTTCTCTAGTCTATTAAATATTGATTTTTCTCATAAGAACGGGTATTTATTGAAATGATTTCATAGATTAATCGGTTAATTATCAATAAATATTTTTTTATGAATAGAAAAAACAAAACATTATGATTAAATACTTCAAAATATAGTGTATAGATATTGATTTTACACTATATGTAAAGACAGCCGGATTCGGAGATAAAACAATGCCTTGATTTTTTCTTTATTTATGACACGATCAGAATGTGGGATTAATCTTTAAGCAGTTATGTTACATTTTAAGGTCATTTAGGTTGCACGTACCCAACTATAGTTATCCATACGTGTATCCATAACTCTAAACCATTGATCAAAGACTTAAAGTATTTGCATGATCGGAAACAGGACAAATTTTGAAGCCTTCAATCAATTCGCGTAGTTTTCTATTAATGACCTTCATGATACGGATAATTTTCGTATTAATTTTAAGATTCTTCTTTTGACGTTAAAGTCTATAAATGGTATGGCACCATGTTATTTAACTGAACTTTTGGTACAGAAGCTTATGGGATAGCCTCGGTTTGGTTATAAAATTACTTCCTGGTGTAAAATTATACAGTTTACAAATTCAATGGTTCTTTATTTAAATATTTAAATTTTTCGTTTGTTTTTTTCAGCTCTTGGTATGCTCACGTTATTTGTTGGTCTTGTTTTTCGTCTCATAGTAACATTTTTCTCGGCTTATGGAATGAATTTTAGTATTAAAGAGAAGTTATTTTTGACAGTTTCCTGGTTACCCAAAGCTACTGTTCAGGTAGGAAAAGGGGTGTAAACACAAAGTTCTTTTATCAATATTTTGCGTATTCACTTGCATTGTTTGAGGGTGTATATGTTAATGTCTGAATTAACTGGTCTTGGAATGTGTAGTTACTTGGTTCCAGTCCCCGTCTTCATTAGCCCAGTCGGGGTAAAAAAAACTATGACGTTAAATCTCATTTCATTTCATTTTGGTTTCAACCAACATTTATACTGCACAGAAATATATTTCATATCTAAGTACTGGTTGTTATTTGTGAGGCAATCGCCAATCCGAAAGGACAAAATTCTGACTAAAAAAAAAGAGACCGAGAAAAGTTCATTGCTGATCGAGGTGTCTTACAAAATAAGTTATAAAAATCAAACTCTGTAGTAGTCAAATATTCAGAACACCCCAATCCACCCCCTAAATAATTAGAAAAATGGAAACGAAATCTTGCATATGTGATGTATTTCGCTTCGTGATTTGCCGAAATCTTCATGCCGAATGACGATCTGTGCATTAGACTTCTAATACGATTCCGATCGAATTTTAAAAATCGGCCCAAAATCAGTTCGGTTATGATAGGAGGAAGAGATGATTCGGGTTCGATTCGTAATCGAACATCTTTAATCTTTAAGTATGATTCGGGTTCGATTCGTAATCGAACATCTTTAATCTTTAAGTATATTTGATGAAGCGTTAAGCCGGGTGTAATATCTAGTGCATGCTAAAAAAAATGGTTGTATTTTATATTATATTTTAGGCAGCTATTGGTCCAGTTGCCCTAGACACAGCACGAGCTAAAGGGGCTAGCGATGAAATTATTGATTTTGCAACGAATGTAAGTCATTTTGAAACAAAATTTATGCCGTAATATGATAGAGTGCAATCAATGAATTATGGTGGCAATATGAACCAGAGGGTGGCTCATCCGTTTCTATTTTGTAATGTGTAATGTGGGTCTAATTCGCTTTGCGTCTTTCATAAACACAGAAAGTAAATAAACATTTTCGATTTTATTAATTCGAAGCAGAATACATACTTCTCGAATTCTCGAGGTATTAGTGTTTTCGACTGAAATCGTCTATTTATAAATAAAAATGTCGGTCAATAAGCTTCCTGTCTGCTCTCAAGTGGTGCAGACAGCTTAACTTTCAGAATATGATGTATACAGTTGACATCGTAACTTTCGTATGATATGCAATGATGGTAGCTACTCGCGATGAACTTTTAGAAATATTTTGCATACCCTTAATAAATGAACCCCGCCCCTCACACCTTATTCCCACAACCTTAAAAGTGGTGTTGTGTTTAGTATACAGGCCAAATGTATTTAGTTTGTGTAATTTAGAGTGGCGTTTGTACGGAGGCATGTAAAAGCTTTTAAAAAGATGCATTCAAGAGCTAAATCTAACCATTGGCCTTTCTTTAGGACTTAAATGTTATATAGATTATTGATTAAACATTTTTTTTTTAACTTACCAAGACCATAATCAACTCTCGATGAAATGGGATACTTAAGATTTTCAACGGATTTAAATACAATTGACAGTTAATGATTTAATTTTAAAATGGATAATCTAGACTTTGTTTATTATCGTAATAACGGTAGCAGTGACAATCGAAGCTACACTGTTCTTCTAAAGCCAATAACTCGGCTCAGAATGAAGTGATTTAACTGAAATTTTCAACATATTCCCGTTTCAGTACCTTCTTGTTAACTATTATAGCGAGAACTGTCAGCTCTTTAAGAGAGAATTCTAGTACATATGTTATCGTTATCAATCTATTGTTGGAATTAAGGTTATCTAAAGTTTAAAATGATCTTTATTTATAAACATAGAAGATATTTTATCAATCGCGACAATCAAGTCTTTATGTTCATCATTGATATGAACTGTTTGGCTTCATCGACTAAAACCTTGTTAATATTCTATTAAAAAACTAAGGTATTTATTTAAAACATTTTTTATAAAAGCAATATTTATTCTATTTTAGATTCTCACGATTGCTGTATTATCAATTCTGATAACGGCGCCCATTGGAGCAGCGGGCATTGCAACTAGTGCTCCGTTATTACTTAAAAAGAGCGGCACGGACGAAACTGAATTAAGCGAAGATATTCCTGATCCACTGGAGGAAAAGGAGAAAAAATATGAACTAAGCAATTCCCTTATAACCTCAAAGACAGACCCCGATTCCAATTGTTGATATAAACTGGTTGTCTCTGGGGATTTTCTTTATTCTGGCAAAATGGCGAATCAAACCAAATCCGTGAACATAATTTAATGCAATTGAATCAAAAATACTTCGGATTCATTGTGTACGGGCTAAAGAAAGTGGCACCGACATGGATTGGTTTGTTTTTGTCGGTGTTTGCAAAATCTAATGAATGGCTTTTGATTTCATTATCAAATTACTATATATAAATTTAGACTCCCTAATTTCATATTGTTTAATGCATTATACTTATATGCATATGTACATACCCACAACATGCATCATAATCCTATAATCTACTTCCAATATAGGTCATGTGAAAGTAATAAGTTTTGTTTTTCCAAAAATATATCATATCTTAGTAAATCAATAACTACAAGAGATATATTGTGTTTGTTTTGTTTTGTACACCAAAGAAAAGTAGTCTATGTTCTAATATTGAGGTCGGGATGAATTTATATTATAATAGAAATCGCAAAAAAGTGGAATATTCCGACAATTTGTTTTTCATTTAATCAACTGTTAAGGATTTATTATTTGGTTGAGATTTTCTTGATGGCGTCTCACAAATTAGGGCGTCCAGGATTCGATCAGGGTGCAGGGCGGATGGTCTGGTAGTCGTTCAGATATGGGACGAAAACCTGAGGTCCAGTGTCCACACTGGCGTGCACGTAACAGAATCCTTGGCAGTCGGAATTCTACAGCAGACGGGAAGTCACTGTTTGCAGTAAAGCATGACAATGTAAATACATGTATATATATCTGACAGGGAGAGGGTTTTAATATATAGCCCGTTCAGACGCTTAAGTTGAACTGGTTTAAAAAAAAACCGGGATCGTTAAACCAGTTTAACTTAAGTGTCTGAACGCAAATGTGGGGCAAATAAACCAGTTTAAAAACCCCTGCCGGCGACCTTTTTTCGAGAAGGCTTTTTATTTTAAACTGGTTCATCTTAGCCGTCTGAATGGGTTGGCTTAAAAAAAAACAGCTCCAGCTTGCTTCGAGCATGCGCAGTACGCAGTTAGTTATATTCCTGTGAAAATATTGGGGTCAGACGGTGCCAATGTTATCGAAAGCGTGCGAGAACCGAATAAAGAATATGAAGCTACCCATGCGTAGTTAACTCTAACCTCCGACCGAAGAGGTCAGAATAGTTAAACTGGTTTGGCTTATAGTACGTGTGAACGCAACACGATGCTGTCTTAAAAACCCCAGCGATTATGAAATAAAAATATTGTTTATAAAAAAGTAGGACGTTAAGACCATTTTATTCCGTTGATGACATAAATGATACCAAAAATAATTGGGATATACAATCATCTTGTATAAGGTCAAACAAAGATGTTACGTGTGTAAATATACATAGTTAATGGAATAAATGAATTCCATTAATTGAGGTAATTATATCGATATTGATATTTCATGGTGTATTGTTATTTTACAATAATTTACACGTCGTAACAGCTACCGCAAATATAACGTGTTTCGATTGCCTCCCCATAAAACACCGGGTATTCATTTTAAAATTCCATTTAATATTTCAAAATTGGATTAAAGATACATTATGGGAGATTTTTTTATAGAGAATTGGCCATTCTTGCTATAAATGTTCAAAAGTAGATGATGAAAAAAGAATATATTGAAAATTTCAGTCAAATTACTTTATTCTGAACATAGTTATCATCGTTGTAATATTTGACTAGAAATGGTAGTGAAATGTGCCTTTACCTTGGCCGATCGTTTGATTGACAGGCGTTAACTCCATCTACATATCTCGATTATCAAGTAAAGTTTTCAATGGCATGCGGAAACGCTCTACAGCGGCCTCGCTAATGATATTTTAATGGAAATCGATAATAGAAAATGTACATTTTTAATTTTATTAGATTTATCTGCTGCTTTCGACACGGTGGACCCTTCCATTTGTCATCTGGGGTTCCCCAAGGTTCTGTTCTTGGTCCGATTTTATTTACCCTCTATACGTCACCATTAGGAGATATTGTCAGAAAATATGGTCTCAGCTTTCATTTGTATGCCGATGATACTCAATTATATATTTCATTTACACCTAATTGTCCATCTTCTTTCAATTTATCAAAATTGCAACTTGAGAACTGTATTAGTGAAATTAGAAAATGGATGTCAAAGAACTTTCTAAAATTGAATGATGATAAAACCGAATATTTGTTATTAGGCTCAAGGCATCAATTAAGTAAATCTGCACAAGATAACCCCCCTGTTGTAATTGGTAATTGTGATATATTTTCATCTTATTCTGCTCGTAATATTGGCGCTATCTTTGATAGTTTTATGCTTATGGGAGCTCAAGTAAATAATATTTGTAAATTGTGCTATTTTAATATTAGAAATATAGGTAAAATACGTAAATGTGTAACTGTAGAGGCCACTAAGTCACTTGTTAATTCTCTGGTCACTTCTCGATTAGATAACTTTAATTCACTTTTAGTTGGTTTACCTTTAAAGCTTATAGATAAATTACAAAAAGTACAGAATACTGCGGCTAGACTTGTTACTTTAAGAAATGTGACCACATAACTCCTGTTTTATATAATTTACACTGGTTACCTGTTAAATATCGAATTGATTTTAAGATTTTATTACTTACTTTTAAATGTTTAAATAATTTAGCTCCTGTTTACCTCTCAGATCTTTTAGAACTTTATACACCTGGCCGAACATTACGTACATCAGATAAACTACTTTTAAAGCCCAAAACTGTTCAACTAGTCTCCTATGGTCAGCGCTCTTTTAGTTATCAAGCACCTTTTTTATGGAATAATCTACCATTTAGTTTAAGATGTTGTACATCTCTGTATTCTTTTAAAAAACAACTTAAAACACATTTATTTAATCAGGCTTTTAACTGTATACAATCGTTTACATGCCCATAATCTTGTTGTTTATGTGTGATTTACATTGTCACTTTGTAAAGTGCCCCTGAACATGTTATATGAAAGGGTGCACTATAAATATGCTGTAATAATAATAATGATAATTTAGCCTCGATCTAACTGACGTATTCTTATCAGGATGCGCCATATTTGAATTAATTAATAAGTGAAATCCTATTTAAATCCGAGCTGTAGCCGAGCCATCCGTGGGTCTACAGAGTTGATTTTGGGCTTGTTGTTTAAATAAAGATCTAATTTATAATTTCTATTACATCTGAAGCCTAAATTAAGACTTGCAATAATCAGATTTTGCTCTTGCATAATGTATGTTTAATAAGACTTATGTTAATCGATATCGACTTGAATTATTATATTAATCGATATTGATATTAAGAATACTATACTGCTTGTATAGTGTATAAATCAACCGCCTGTATTTTTAACCAGCTTGGGGCCGGTTGCTCAAAACACAGTTATTTTAAAGATCCGTTAAATTCTAACGGATCGTTATATTGCTATCCCGTCGTTTGTTAATTGTCCGTTAAATTTCTCTTTCTGGAAAGTCCAATTCATTAACCGTTAGCTAGGACTGATTAAAGTTAATCCAAGAGAAGACTGTTCAATGGCTGAATTTTAAATTTAATGTACATGTATAACAACTTCATAGAAGTTAGTATTAACAGGAAGAAAGAGGGACAACTGGGCAGTCCGTACACAAAACTTGAAACCCCCCCCCCCCCCAAAAAAAAAAATGCAGAATACTTTAGTATTTTCCATAAATTTGTAGGATTATATAATTTGCATTACAGAAACTGTAGAATATTTGGGCTGTTATTGCCAACAGCCCCCCCCCCCCGCCAAAAAAAAAAAAAAAATTATGTAGAATACTACTGAATTTAATCCTATAGAAACTGGGACCCCCCCCCCCCCCCACACACACACACAGTATTCTATAGAAAACTGGGGGTGTTGGATGACCGAATGGTTAACACGCGCGCGCTGTATCATACGGTCTGTCACTGAGTCAACTGGCGGGGTTTCGATTCCCCGGCTGTACGTGACAAGGAGTAGGGTCGCCTGTCCAACCTCGTGGGTTTTCTCCTGGTCCTCCGGTTTATTCCCACTGCTAAAGACCCCTATGCGCAAGCGAATGATTGAAATAAAATTGAACCATGTGTTAGTCCCGAAATTACCTAGTTTGTGTCTAGTGACGTTAAACCCCATTTCTCTCTAGAAAACTACACAGGTAATCAAAAGGCCTTTTTGCTAAGAGTATACTTCGAGTGACAGCAGACTAATGCCATCGTTAAACAGATGACGGAAGCCAACACCTGCGTTAAATATAACGGCTAGTTAACGACATGTTAAAGTTAACTAGGCTTCCAGCAACAGACTTTCTCTCCTTTAAAGATAACGATCCGTTAACTCCATGTTAACGAGTTGTTATAAGTTAAAGGACAATATTGGTGCCAGTCATTATCACATATGTGATAGAGCTGGTTAAACACATTTCAAATATAATTTTAACACAGAGATCATTGCTACGATAGCTGAGTAATACAGGTTTCCTGAATCGGAAGTGACGAACGGCAAAGGAAAACACGAGCCATCCCTCTATATAACTGACTGATGCAACGAGTGATACGATACACGGCCGAATTTCTGCTCACTGATAATTCTTTCGAAGACCAAAAGTTGTTATATGGGACTGTAAGAGGATACCTGACAATTCAATAAAGTAATTGAATGTCATTAGATAAGAGAACACGAGAAAAAAAGAAATAATCCGTACATTCCCTTGTTTATATTCATTCTATACCTTATCAAAACATGGTAATGCACCGACTTTTTCTGTTTTTCTTTCGTGTTCTCTTATCTAGTGGCAGTCAATTCTTTTTATGAATTGTCAGATATCCTCTCACAGTCTCAAACAACAACTTTTGGTCTTGGAAGGAATTATTAGTGAGCAGAATTTCGTCCATGTATCTGTTATCACTCGTCACTTCAGTCAGTTATATAGAGGGATGACTCGTGTTTTCCTTTGGCGTTCGTCACTTCCGATTCAGGAAACATGTATTACTCAGCTATCGTAGCAATGATCTCTGTGTTAAAATTATATTTGGAACGTGTTTAATTAGTTCTATCACATGTGATAATGACTGACACCAATATTGTCCTTTAACGGAGCTTTGAGCAACTGGTCCAGTAGTGTCGTAATCCTGTAGTGGTGTGGTCAATATTTCCATGTACCAAGTACTAAAGCCAAGGGTCAATCCATGTCTTATTGATTAATTTCGTTGCAATAAGGAAGTGATCTTTGGCTATATTTCCTAAAATTGAACAAAAAATCTCAAAAAGTTACCTGAAAGAAAATAAATATAAATAAT